TATATATATGACAGTTTTGTAAACGGTGTTGATTGTTACTTTTGTAGCTCGGGTAGTATAACTTGGTGTTCAGTTGTTCGCCGAGCTTGGCAATTGTATTTCAAACGTTTCATCACCGTTGCAGGTGACATTCTCAATGCAGTTAAACGGACGATGCCAGCCCCTTTATCCAATAAGGATGAAACGGAATGAACAACTTGAGCGATAGCATCAAGAGTGGAAAGCGAATGTTTGTAAGCAAACTGAATAGGATCATGGGTGACAGATAAAAGGGTCAGCCGGTTAAGAAGGACTCTTTCAAAAACTTTCAATAATGCTGATGTGCAGGCACTCGGTCGATATTTGGAAGATCCTTTTTGGGAATTGGGGTTATCCGATCAGCACTACAACAATCAGGGATGCTACCCGATGACATACACAAATTGAATAACTCAGAAACAGGTGATGCAAGTTGTTCAGCACACTCTTTCAATAGGAAGGGGGACAACGAATCAGGGCCTTGTGCCTTGTTAGATTTAAGGGACTAGACAAAATTTCCCTGGAAGCACACGACCGGTTTCGCGGTTCTTGCCGCCCGTCAGGCATGCGTATCCGGTAATCTTTTGCCATTTCATTCATATACTTGTACCCAGGAAGTGTATTTTCGTCACGACAACCTCTTTCAGAGCCAGTCCATTGGAGAATCAATGCTATGATTCGATTTTTGTAAGTAGGTTAGGTGCTACTAACCGCAACAAACGTGACCTGATGGTCTTTGTAGAATATTTTACAATAAGTATACATGTATATATATATGTATATATTTATCACCAATCTTTACAAATACGGCGCCAAAATAGCCATGGGTGAACGAAAAAATATAGGTAGAAAGCGGGGAAAATAAAACAGTCAACTTCGGGCAGTAACATTTTTGTCTGTTTACTGCACGCCATTGGTCACATATTAATACCTTTGAAAGTTTGCTAATTAGGTTGTCTGTTTTGTCACCTGTAGAAGCAAATAAATAGACAAACGGTGAATTAAGTAGTTACTCTATTCCCAGTATGTATATGTAGACTTAGCCGGTCCGTAGACCGGTGAGCAAGCAATGCGTCAACACGCAGGCAGGCAGACAAACTGGCGCAAGCGCTACCAAAAAGAGAATGTCGTCAAACTGGACAGTCAACGAACCGATCAATGCGGGCAGCTCAATACTGACCTCTGAATCGCTGAGACGGATCGACCTTGTACCATAGAGTGAGTCTGCATGATGTGCGTATTTGCGTGCGGTGGCAGACTGCAACGGTCAATCATGTGATGTGCGGTAAACGTTTCATTTGACAGTTTTCTTTACATTTTTACTTCCTTTTATTGAACACACAATGATACAATTTTCAGGAAGGGGGAAGCGACCAATCAAAGGGCTGCCATGCAACACACAAATGGGGGAAGTCAGGCGGTGGTGGTGGGATTCGAACACACGTCCTCCGGAGTGGTAATTTGGTGACTTCACCATCGGGCCACCACCACCGCAGACCAAAACAGCCTGTACCCAGGATCTCCCATGGATTGAAATTCTCGTAACGTGATTGGGTGTCTAGAAGCTGCATTGTGATGCGTGCTGTCTGCACTCATCACTGTTTCAGTCAGCGCTAGCCATCAGAATACCCTAATAAGGACTAACTGACCTCTCAAAGATTAAGTACCATATGAGGGAAACAACACACCGGCCCTCGGTATGTGTGTGCGTGTGTGTGTGTGTGACGCAGATAGAGACGGAGTGAACTTGCAAAGGATGAAAACCCGGATGGTCTCCTAGACAAAGATTACAACACTATCGACGATAATTTCCTTTCCAGAACGAGTCCACTATTCCAGGAGGGCTGAAATGCAACGACTATCTTTTCTGATCAAGAGTGAAATAAGACGTTTAGATTCCTTCTGTGTTGTGGCCTGCAGTCGAGTGAAACGTTTACCGTACATCACGTGACTGACCGCTGCGGCCCGCCACCTCACACACGTACGCACCTCATGCGGACTTACTCTATAGTACAAGGTCGATCCGCCTCAGCGAATCGGAGGTCAGTTTTGTCCTGTCCGCATTGATTGGTTGGTTAACTGCCCAACTTAACGGTAACGGTTGCGCCAGTTTTGTGCCTGCGTGTCTGCGTGTTGACCCACTGCTTGCCCACCGACGGACCGGCTACGTTTGCATTTACATACTGGAAATAGAATAACCACTTACTGCTTGTGTACTTATGCAAGTCAGTTTTTTGGACGATGAACTGCAAATCTATTTGGCGTGGAATCAGTCTACTCTGAAGACAGAAGAAAATGATTTCCAGTTCTCCTATTGATAATGAAAAACGGAATGCGTCATTTATTCATTCTTCGCCTGACACATACCCCAGTTATATCCATTCCAGTTCTCCGAACATCCCATTTTCGTTTGATTCAATCACCTCTAGTGAAATGTATCAACACATCTGTTCTCTCAAGTTGTCAACCGTACAGACAACTTAAATTCTGCTCTTCTTAAACACTGTCTCACATTTTTGTACACAGCTATTTCGGGGTGCTGGCGCCCAGTGAGAATTGCTCACATCCCTAAAGGAAAGACAAAGGCCTCAATAGCGAAGCGTTTCAGGCCAAATGCTCTCACTTCCACTGGTTTGAATTTGATGGAGCGATCAAGTCTGCGTCGCCTTCAGCAATCTTTCACCACCCCCGATGGCATTTATCAGTTTGCAAGTAAACATAACCGCTCTGCATTGGATGCCATTTCCTCTCTAGATCACCTCATCTGTAAGTCCCTAAACGAGAAAGACAAATATGTGCACGATGCATTTCTGGATTATTCTTCCGCTTCTGACTCGGTGCTCCGTTCTCTTTTACTTAACAAGGTCCAGTCGTTTTGTTGACCCACTTTTCTTCTTGAGTGGCTTGATGATCACTTATCGCAAAGATATCAATATATTAAATTAGGAAGAAGACAGTCAACGGCATCACTCAACAGTTCGGGTGTGCCTAAAGGTGCTGTCCTATCACCCTATCTTTTGCGGCTGATAACAGGTACTTACCAATTTAATCCTCATGTACGACGTTTTAACAATGCTGATGATATCGCCATTTCTGTTTCCTTATAGAACAAATCAGAACTGGCTGAATATATGTGGTGATGACGTGTACTCTGGAACGACGGGTTACAGATTTTGGACAACTGCGATCAATCAAACTTCATGGGTGACGTCAACAATGCGCGTACGCGTCACTGTTTCTGAATACATACCATAGGTAGATCGTACCAGCCAGTCAGAGACCGTGCGGTCCAGACAGAAGCAGAACGATACCAGCAATACTGGAACGCGATTGGTAGAAGCCCAGATAACCAAGGAGGCTACTTTGTACAGATTACTTAATCCCCATTATTTCTTCCAATAAAGGAACTACTATTCCGGTGGCCTTTTCCTCGCGTCTCAGTTACGTGGGCTATTGTGTGCTATTGCCTTTGCAGCCCAGTGCT